CAGCAGGTAAATGACACTCTAACAGAGGCTGTGTGAAGAGTTCGAGATTTCCATAGCCCACAGCAGTAAAAATTCCATTTGTCTCCTGCAGAGGCTCAATTCTGCCTGGGGAGCAATTATATGGTTAGTATTAATGGTAACTGTGTCTTGCCAAGCACATACAATGTATCAGCCACCATGCAATACTTTGTTTGAATCCTAATAATGACACTAAGGGAATCAGGCTTTGAAAAATTCCATGACTTGGCCCAGGCCCCAGGGGTAGGCAGTATTGAAGTCAGGATTCAATTTGGCTGTGGGGCTCGAAAGCCAAACCTCCCACTGGCAAGAAGCTGCTTATCTGGCTGCCCACATCTGGCTGCCCAGTTCGGAGAAAGACCAGCTTCCAGGACAAACCTAGCTGGTTTGGCTTCTGCTGTGGGGCTCACAGCTTCTTTGATAGGTGTTGAGAGGTGGCAGGTTTTAGGTGGTAAGTAAATATAGTTATATTGTCAATGGGGGCTCTATTCAGGCAAGCTTTCCATTTTCTTTGCCAGCCCCCTGCTCTGAGAACAAGCAATTTGCACCTGCTTGCTTCCCACCCCTCTCGAGCCTCCCCCGCCCTGACAGACTCCCATCATCAAAGGCAGAGAGTAGAGAAGCAGACATCTTGTAGTTCCTCCCAACCCTACTTTTTCCGGTACTGGTGAGTCAGTTGGGGAGGGCAGCTCTCATCCTGGCTGGTAGTTCGGTGACCTGGTTTTATGTACTGGATAAATTCCACTGGGAGATGGAACGCAGCGGGTTTCTGGCTGGTCTGATACTGGCTGCCTTTCTCCCCCAAGGTAAGGCTACTCGCGGTGGGTAGGGGAAGGGAGCTAAGAGGGACATTACCACTGGGAGTGGGGTTTCCTTGAAAGTGCTTCTTACACTAGCTTCAAATCACCAGGCACCCTAGGGTGTAAGGAGGGAAGGGCTGGGATGTAGCATAAGGTCTGGGACAGGCTTTGGCTCTCAATAACTCCATCCGGGGGCACATACTGGCCTTGGCTGTCTCTCGGAAGGCCTTAGACCAGAGATCTATATGGTCTGGAAATGGGAGCAAAGCCACAAGCACTGTTCTTTCCAGGGCTGATGGCTTCTGGGATCAGGACTTTTGGTCACTTGGCCAGATTGCATCACTCTTGGTGCCATACCCCAGCTCCTTAGGGGTATGGAAAAGTTAACTTTAGGTTGAGCAAGAGGAAGGGCAGATTTGGGGGGTGAGTATATGGTTACTGGGATTTCAACTCATCTCAGTTTGCTAGTTTCAGCTTTAAAACTGGAAGTCCCATGGGCCAGGAAACTCCTCAATCCCAAGCAAGCTGGGTCCAGTGGTTACTTAATAGTCAACTGCACTGGGACGCCCAGGATTTCCACTGGAAACACATCCCCAAGGAAGACACGACTGTGGGATTTGAAACATCAATGTACATGGGTCTCCCTGAGTATACATACACTCACCAGCTGCTCCCCAGGCATGAGAAGCAGCTACTTTGGGATTTTCTAGAAGGTGCTCTCATATTCAAACATGATTGAATGTGAAGCTCAGGGAGAATATAGACTCCACTATTCTCTGGGTTAGGAGGTATAGACGCCAGTGCTCCTGTGGGCTGTGAAGATGGTCTCGGGCTGTCAAAACAAGTCAATGAATCTAGAAAGTCTCTGTGCCCACCTTTAGACAAGACTTAAATTCTCCATAAGACCTGACTCCTGAGGAGTTCCAGGAACAAATTCAATAATTTTTTTCTGTGTCCCACTTCTGTTTTTTTTTTTCTCTCTCTCTCTTACTCTGTTCCCTGGGCTAGAGGGCTATGGGCTCAGTTTAGCTCACAGCAACCTCAAACTCCCAGACTCAAGTGATCCTTCTTTTGTTTTTGAGACAGAGTCTCACTATGTCACCCTTGGTAGAGTGTTGTGGAATCACAGCTCACGGCAACCTCCAACTCTTGGCTCAAGCGATTCTATTGCCTCAGCCTCCCAAGTAGCTGGAACTACAGACTCCCGCCCCAACACCTGGCTTTTTTTTGTTGTAGTTGTCATTGTTGTTTAGCTGGCTGGGGCTGGGTTCGAACCTGCCATCCTTGGTGTATGTGGCTGGCACCGTAACCACTGTGCTATGGGCACTGAGCCTCAAGTGATCCTTCTGCCTTAGCCTCCTGAGAACTACAGGCACCTGCCACCATATCTGGCTTATTTTTCTGTTTTAAGTAGTGACATAATTTTGCTCTTGCTCAGGGTGGTCTCAAACTCCTAGCCTTGAGGGATCTTCTCACATCGGCCTCTCAGAGTGCTGGGATTACAGACAGGAGCCACTGAGCCTGGCTGGTGTCCCTCCTCTTAACCAAGGGTGGAACAACTAAAACTTTGTACTTGGACTTTACCCCAGTCCCTTTCTAGACCACTGTGCTGGTAATTCATACTAGCTTCTCCCTACCCACAACCATCCTTGGCCCTGGGAAGGGCTATAGTTGTGAGAGTCCCATGCTCTTGGTTTTGCCCCATGCTCCAGTGGAAAACATCTAATTCTACTTCCCAGCCAGTTCCAACATGCCCACTCCAACTTCCTGTCCTCTTCCTTCCCCCTTGCCCCTGCTATGACAAAACCAAGAGCATCTTTCCTGCCAGCCAGCTCCAACACTCCTTAGAAAGGTTCTTCGATCAGTCCAGCTCCAAGCTTTCCTCTTTTGCTCCAAGTCCCTCAGGACACATACTCTGCTTGGACCACATCCTCATGCCCTCCCTGGCCCCTGCCATTCATGGGAGAACTTCCTGAAGCGTGTTCCTTGAGTTCTGTCTCTGTCAATAGAAATTACAAACTGTCCAAGGCTAGGAAAATGGTCCTTCTCAAGTATGAGCCTGGGCAGAGCAGGGGGCCTAGTATAGACCCAAGAGGTGTCTCCAATTGTGTTTTTTTTTCCCCTTAGTGAGCCCCTTAAAGACACCCATGGAGGAACTTGAGGACAAAGTGCTTTTAAATTGCGATAGTGGCATCACGTGGCTGACGGGAACGATGGGAACATTCTTGGCAAGCAACACAAGTTTGGACCTGGGCAAACGCGTCCTGGACCCACGAGGAGTGTATATGTGTAGTGAGACACATGAACAGGCCGTGAAAACATCTACTGTGCAAGTTTATTATCGAAGTATGTGCTTCCTGGACCCTGTGGGCTGGAATGGATGGGGTCTCTGGATGTGAGAGCTTTCTGGCTAGGGGGGCTGTGGGGAATCCTTCAGTTCTAAACAAACTGCAGTCACTCCTGTAATGTGACTAGATTTGCAGGCATCAAAGTGGGAGTGGGCTTAACCAAACAAGACAGAGGACTAGGGGCCTTGTTACCGTAGCCTTGGTTGGGAGAGGGGTCTGGCCCAATGCCACTGCTCTAAGACGAGTTTACTTCTTGGCTCTCCTTGGGGATTCTTTGGGATGAAGGGTGAAGGTAGATGTAGCAAAGCCATTACCAGGCTTTTCTCCCGGGATCTGACTGAAGTTTGGGTCTTGGCATGAGGCATTCCAGGGCAGCTCTAGGAGACAGAGATGGTTCCCTGATCTTAAAGGCTCTCTACCTTTTCTCTCCTCTCTTACCCCACAGTGTGCCAGAACTGTGTGGAGCTGGACCCAGCCACCCTCACTGGCATCATCATTGGTGACATCATTGCCACTCTGCTCCTCGCTTTGGGAGTCTACTTCTTTGTCGGACATGAGACTGGAAGGCTATCTGGGGGTTAGTGGAAGGGCAGAACAAGTGTGTGTGAGTGTGTGTGTGTGTGTGTGTGTATACCCATGAGATCACATGCCAGCTAAAGAATGGGCCAGGTTTAGTTTCATTTGGAAGTCACTCTGGCACTCTCCTAAGGACTCCTACCACCAGCCGTTAGAAGAATTTGGGTACCCACGTGTCCCATGATGTGAGAGGGTGTGACCAGCTGCAGTCCTCCTGCGGTGTTCAGGAGGTCTCACTGTCCCATCTTCTTATACCATTGGTGACTCTTTTTCTCTGGTTCTTCTAGGAGCTGCTGACACTCAAGCTCTGTTAAGGAATGACCAGGTCTATCAGGTGAGCCCTGAGGGGAAGAAGGCAAGAATGGGAGGAGGAATGAGTGGAGATAGAGAGACTGATGCTGGGTGTGCTGCACACATGTGACAACCCTGGTGGGGCACTCCTTGCTGGGAGGGACTGGAGAGGCCTGCTGGGGCCTCCCTGGAGCCTTCTGGCCCTGCTTTCTGACCATTCCCTTCTCTCTCAGCCCCTCCGGGATCGGGATGATGTTCAGTACAGCCATCTTGGAGGAAACTGGTCTAGGAGCAAGTGAACCCGGGACTGGCAGCTTCTAGAAGCATCAGTTATCAACTGGACCTTCCTTCTTTGCTCAGACAATAAAGATACCTTCTTTCACTCAGCAGGTGCCTGGAGTTGTCAAGGCTCCCAGGCAAAGGATGGCAGTTGTCCTGATTGGCTGGGACCTGCCTTCCTGCCCCACCTGCGCCCTTCTCTCATCTCTTCCCTTCCTATGCCCCACGCAGACAGTGTGATGGGCAGTCTCCTACCATTCCCTGACCGTCTGGTGTTTCTAGACCAGGGGACCCCCTGGGGAAAGGGTCTACTCTGCTACACTCCCAGGGACTTATTGACTCTAGTCCCCTTTCACAACTGTTCCGGGGATTTTGCCCCTCTCCACAGCCACAGGCAGGCTGCTGTGCTCAGAAGTCCAGCCACACAGAAGTTTCCATGACATCATGAGCGGGGGTGGTGGAACATCAAGGTACCTGGGGTTCGCTTCTAACCAAGACTCAGAGGGTGTATGTGACCCTCTGCAAAGGGGCTGGCCTCAGCTTGATGGCCCTGTTGAGCAGTTGACACCAGCTGTGTCACAGTTGCTGATGTATCTTCCTTTCCCCAGGACCTTTCCCTGGCTTGCTCCTGCCTTGGGCATGATAAACTGGGATCAGAAACCCTTCATCACATAAAACGCTTTATCTCGGGCACTGTTTGTAACCTGTTGATTTGGCTATAGCTAATGGGCTCCATTCCAGTGCAACAGAATTTCCAGGGACACATAACTGACTGATTGGTGGATTTTGATTTGGGGTCTTGGAGACATGCTGTGTGAAGGGCTGCTAGTTACCAACCCTTGGGGACAGGGACTGGGGATCTGGGACCAGTCACCAACCTGTTCCTGCTCATCTCAGAGCTGGGTCCCAGGTGGGTGGATGAGGGCCAGTGTGAGTGGAATTTTTTTTTTTTATTTTGGGGGATTCATTGAGGGTACACAGAACCAGGTTTCATTGATTGCTTTTGTTAGACAAGGACCCTCTTATAATTGTTTGTACCACAACCCTTGTCCCCCCACCCCTCCCTCCTTCCCTTTCTCAGCTCTCCCCATCCAGAATTTTTTTTTATTGCAAATCCTATAGGGAACAGAGGAAAAATAAAATTAGAAAAAAAAAATACTCCTTGGTATCTATGTGATAGTTAATAAAATCTCATCAAATTTATCACCAAAAAACCCATATTCCTTCTCTCCATCTACTTGGAAAGCTAGAGTTTGAGATTGGATGGGGTTCTGGAAGTTTTTTTTTTTTTTCCAGCTGGGGCTGGGTTTGAACCAACCACCTCCAGTATATGCGGCCAGCACCCTACTCCTTTGAGCTACAGGCGCCACTGGAAATTCTTAATAGGTGCCATCTTCAGTCAGTGGGTTAGTGATGGTTCCAAAACTTTGGGAGCCTCAGGGATTTATTAAAAATATAGTAGTTAGGGTGGTGCCTGTGGGTTGGTGAGTAGGCCGCCAGACTCATATACCAAGGGTGATGGGTTCGAACCCGGCCCTGGCCAAACTGCAATAAAAAAATAAATAGCCAGGCATTGTGGCAGGTGCCTGTAGTCCCAGCTACTTGGGAGGTTGAGACAACAGAATCACCTAAGAGCTGGAGGTTGCTGTGAGCTGTGATGCCACAGCACTCTACCGAGGGTGACAAAGTGAGACTCTGTCTCTGAAAAAAAAAACCCCAAATATGTATATATATCTCTTAGGTTCTAGTCCAGATATGTGGTCCCCAAGTGATTCTGAAGCAGCTCAAATTGAGAGCCTTTGGTTCAGAGGAAGAGTTGGAGGCCACTTGTGTCCTTTATGTCAGTTCCTGGATCCCAGGGTTGGGGACCCTTCCTTTTGTTCTCAGATTTCGCAGATAATTTAAAGAGCTTTGGGAGAGTTTAAGGACAAAAACTAGGGAGTTTCCTAGACCAGGATTCCCAAAGGAGAAAGGAATTAACAACCACATACCTAGAGAACGGGATGATCCTGCTGATCATCTCCTTAAGATGCACACACAGACTCTAGTTTCATGAGAGAGAGAATGAACTTCCCGTTTATCCAGGCTTCATTCCTGATTTGTTCCTGCCTTTGCTAGTCCTCCTCATCCTACTTTCTCATTGGATCCCTCTACTGTGGGCATCCTCTCCATGGCCTGTACCTCACCAATGCTTTGGATCCTTCCCACCGTTCTTTTTTTTTTTTTCTGTAGAGACAGAGTCTCACTTTATCACCCTTGGTAGAGTGCATGGTGTCACACCACTCACAGCAACCTCCAACACCTGGGCTTAGGAAAGTCCCTTAGCTGGGACTACAGGTGCCTACCACAATGCCTGGCTATTTTTTTGTTGCAGTTTGGTGGGGGCCAGGTTTGAACCTGCCACTCTCAGTATATGGGGTCAGCGCCCTACCCATTGAACCACAGGGGCCACAACTCCCCACACTTCTTTTTATTTGAGACAGAGCCTCAAGCTATCTCCCGTAGAGTGCTGTGGCATCGCAGCTCACAGCAACCTCCAACACCTGGACTCAAGTGAGTCTCCTGCCTCAGCCTCCCAAGTAGCTGGGACCACAGGCACCCACAACGCCTGGCTATTTTTTGGTTGCAGCCATCATTGTTGTTTGGTGGGCCCGGGCTGGATTCGAACCTGCCACCTTAGGTGTATGTGGCTGGCGCCTTAGCCGCTTGAGCCACAGGCACTTCTTAATACCTTGTATTCCTCATATTCTCTCACATTCCCCCATTCACCAGTGGGCTGCACTTTGGAACCTTCTAGGGAGCATTGAAAATATCTGTACTGGCTGGGTGCAGTGGCACACTCCTATAGTTACAACTAATCAGAAGGCTGAAGTAGGAGGATCACTTGAGGCTAGAATTTTACACATTATGACCATGACCATGACCATGCCTGTAAATAGCCACTACGTCCAGCCTAGTCAACATAGTGACACTCTATCTGCCTCTAAGCCCCTAAAACTGGTGTCTGGGGGCCACCCACAGAACTTCTGATTTTATGGATCTGGGATGTAGCTTGGGCATCAGGGCTTATCAAACTGCCTAAGGTGATTCTGATGTCAAGACCAAGTCAAGAAACACTGCCCTCCATCTGAGCCCTTCTGGAAACTTGTGTCCTGTCTGGCTCTTTTTTTCTTTCTTTCTTCTTTTTGTGTTTTAAAAAAACAGCTTTACTGGCCAGGTACAGTGGCTCACTCATGTAATCCTAGCACTTTGGGAGGCTAGGAGTATTGTTTGAGGCCAGGAGTTCAAGACTAGCCTGGGCAACATCACAAGATCCTCATCTCTTAAAAAAATAGAAAACCTAGCTGGGAGTGGTGGTGCACTCCTGTAGTCCCAGCTACTTGGGAGGCTGAGGCAAGAAGATCATTTGAGTCCAGGAGTTTGAGGTTGCTGTGAGTTACGAAGACACTGCTGCCTCATATCAAGGCAACAGAGCAAGACTCTGAGTCCTACAAACAAACAAATCTTCAAAACCCACAGCTTTATTAAGGAAAACTGACATGAACAAACTTCACATATTTAAAATATAAAAGGTGGTAAGCTTTGACATATATATATATATATCTACTGGGGAAACATCACCACAATCAAAATAATGAATGTTTCCAACACCCTGAAAAGATCTTTCTCCTCCTATTCCTCTATCCTTAGGCAACTACTGATTCGCAGTCCTTATAGATTAGTTTTCATTTTTCTGGAGGTTTTTTTTTTTCAGTTTTTGGCCCTGGCTGGGTTTGAACCCGCCACTTCTGGCATATGGGACTGGCACCCTACCCTTTTGAGCCACAGGCACCACCCTTCTGGAGTTTTTTTTTTAGACAGAGTCTCGCTTTGTCACTCTGAGTAGAGTACTGTGGTGTTAGAGCTCACAGCAACCTCAAAATCTTGGGGTTAAGTGATTCTCTTGCCTCAGCCTCCCAAGTGGCTGGGACTACACGTCCCCACCACAGTGCCTGGGTATTTTTAGAGATGGGGTCTTGCTCTAGCTCAGGTTAGTCTTGAACTTGTGAGCTCAGGCAATCCACCCACCTTGGCCTATCCAGAATGCTAGGATAGTACTATAAGTCTCTAAAGGAAAAATCAATTTCCTGTCCACTCCTCTTCCCCCATGTTTACTGTCCTTTTAATTTTTTGTTTTATTTTTCTCTATATTTTTAGGTAATATTTATAATGTTATTCCTTGAAGGTCAACTTTTTTTTTTTTTTTGTAGAGACAGGGTCTCACTTTATTGCCCTCAGTAGAGTGCCATAGCGTCATACAGCTCACAGCAACCTCCAACTCCTGGTCTTAGGCAATTCTCTTGCCTCAGCTTCCCAAGTAGCTGGGACTACAGGAGCCAACCACAATGCTCATCTATTTTTGTTGTTGTTGCAGTTTGGCTGGGGCAGAGTTTGAACCTGCTATCCCCGGTATATAAGGCTAGTGCCCTATTCACTGAGCCACAGGCACCACTCAAAGGTCAACTTCTTCATATTATCTACTTTTTTATTATTAAAGTAGATTAGAATTTAGTACATACACACTTTTATCCTAATATTCCAATGCATAAGAATTTCTTATTATATGTGTATACAGTAGTCAATGTTTGCATTTTGATGCTATTGTATGTGGTATTTTATACATTGTCATTTCCAAATGTTCATTCCTAGCATATAAAAATACAACTAATTTTTATATATTGATCTTATACCCTGAAAAGGTGCTAAAGTCAATTAATTCTAGTAGCCACCCAACACTGGGCATTCAACATAGATAATCATGCTGTCTGTGAACAAAGTAGTTTAATTTTTTCCTTTCCTTTTTGTTTCTGTTTCTTGGCTTATTACACTGGCCAGTACCTCTAGTACAATGTTGAACAGAAGTGGAGAACATTCTTGTCTTGTTCATGATCTTAGGACAAAAGCATTGTCTTTCATCTTTTTTATGATGTTAGCTGTAGATTTTTCTTAGATTTCCTTTAACAGGTTGGGGAAATTCTTTTCTCTTTCTAGTTTGTTAAGAATTTCTTTCTTTCTTTCTTTCTTTTTTTTTTTTTTTTCCAGTTTTTGGCCAGGCCTGGGTTTGAACCCGCCACCTCTGGCATATGGTGCTGGTGTCCTACTCCTTTGAGCCACAGGAGCTGCCCTAGTTTGCTAAGAATTTTTATCAAAAATAAATGTGGGGGCCAGGCACAGTGGCTCAGGCCTATAATCTTATCACTCTGGGAAGCTACTGAGGTGGGAGGATCACTTGAGCTCAGGAGTTTGAGACCATCTTGAGCATGAGTGAGGCCCCATCTCCACTAAAAATAGAAAAATTAGCCCGGGTGCTGTGGCAGGCAATTGTAGTCCCAGCTCCTCAGGAGACTTAGGCAGGAGGATTGCTTGAACCCAGAAGTTTGAGGTTGCAGTGAGTTAGGCTGATGTCATGGCACTCTATCCTAGACAACAGAGTGAGACTCTGTCTCAAAAAAAAAAAAAAAAAAAAAAGATGTTGGATATTGTCAAGAGTTTCTGCATCCATTGAGATGCTAGTACGGTTTTACTTTTTTAGTGTGTTATTGTCTGTTAATATGGTAAGTTACATTGATGGCATGAGCTGGTAAACCAACTTTGTATTCCAAAAAAAATCTCTAGTTATTATGCACTATTGAATTGAATTTGTCAAAATTTTGTTAAGAATTTTTGTATCTATGTCATAGAGGAATTTGTCTACAGTTTTCTTTCCTTGTATTGCCTTTGTCTGGTTTTGGTATCAGGGTATATTTCCTAAACAATACAGTACATCTGTGA